AAAAAAGCGTGTAACCCAGTGAGAGAATGCCCTGTACTTAGTAAAGTGCACAGCTTCCAGAGCAGCCCAGCAGGAAGGGCCTCTGTCGCCCCCTACAGGCCCACAGGCCCAGAGACCCAGGAAGGACTCTGAGCTGTCAGGTTTACTGAGGCTGTTTGTTATGGCGTGGCTATGGGTTTACCACCAGGAGGGGCTTGAGCCCCAGACAAGTTTGTTGATTTGGGACTTCACAGCCAGAGGGGGTCAGGAGTCTCCACCAGCTCTGTCCACAGGCGGAGGCGATGATCCAGACCTGGCCATCTACTGCCATCTCAGGGAGGGCACAATGCCCCAGACATGCTGGGACCTGGGGCCCGGGCTCCAGGGCTCCAGGCAAGTTCTGCTCCTCCCGCCAAGGGCAGCACAATGCCAGGCCAAAGGAAAGTGAGGTCATGTCCACACCACACTTCAGGCTCACACAGACTCCTCAGCAGGCTGTCCCAAGAGCCAGGGTTTCAGAGCCTAAGGGCACAACCCCAGGCCTGCACTGCCTGGGCAGGGAAGCCAAGCTACCCTGCCCATGGAGCTAGATTAGGGCTTCTGAAATAATATTCTTGAAGGTGACTGAGAAGTACTGGACAGCTGCTAGACAGAGTATTTTTCTGTCTTAAAAAAAAGAAAAAAGGCCTTTGCACATTTGTACCTTTTCTCCCAACCCATTTCTAAAGGTCATGACCAAATTTATCTGTTTAATCCCTCCCCTTTCTCTCCCCTCTCCCATTCCTCGCCCGGATGTGTTTCCTACACTGGGAAAGTTTCTGTGCACACCCCATCCTGTTGCTCCCTCTCCACTACCCCAACTGTCTCACAGATGCCCCCCAGGGTGACTGAGAGGAGAGCTACACCAGTCCTCACCTTCTCTACAGGGAGTGGACTGGAAAGAGGAGGACCACAGTAACCTTTCCCAGGAAGATACCCACCCACCACACGGTAACTGACACCCACTGGGCACGGGTTTCCCGGAAATCCTTAGCTACATTTGAAAAGCGACCAGAATCATGAAGGCAAGAGCTTCGAACTGGTCAGGCAGCCTGGATGGCATCAGGTAGAGCCTGAGCACTGGACACCCACACATAGTGTGGCGCACAGACAGCCCAGGGAGAGCAATGGAGAACATGCTCATCTGGAGTACAAGTGTAGAATGGGACAGGGCTAAGCTCCCAGCCAGGCGACAGGGCAGAAGCCACAGTTCCCAGGCCACTGCCGGAGCCACGGCAGAGTGAGCTAGGTAGGGCAGCTGGTGCAACCAGCAGCTGGCAGAGTCACAGGGTAAAGGATACACTCCTCTGGCGTGAACAAGGACAATAGAAGCCAAAGAGCCCAGGACCACAGTTCTGAGGGCCAGAGACTGTACCGGGAGGCCGGCCCACTGAGAAGCCATGGTCCAGGAGCAACTGTGACACTTGGGAGCCTGTGCTAAGCCTGGCACCCACACTGGACTGAATCAGCCCCGTGCAGTTTGCACCTGAAATCCTCCTGCACTGTAGAAAAGGTCAGTTGTATGTGCTCACACTGGGCCACAGCCAAGGCCACTGCCCAGTGTGGCAGGGGTCCAGACCAGCCACAGGGTCCACAACCCAGGGAAGGGCCTCCAGGATGGTGGCAGTGAGAGACGGGCGGTTCTGGACCTCCATGGGGGGCAGGGATGGTCCCTCCATTCTGGCCTCCCTTCGCCCTTCCCCTGGACTTTCCATCACAGGTCCAAGCTGAACACCAGAGAAAAGGGAAGAAATACAGGGCCTGGGGCCTGCAGCACACAGGCAAGGCAGACACGAGGATAAGATTGGGAAGGAAAAAGCTCCACGCCTCAGTGTTCAACCCCGCACAAGCTCCACTCCTTATACTGTGTGAAAGAGGGAGTTTTTAAACTCTGTGTGCCTTGGTTTCCTTATCTGATGAATGGAATAGTAAAAGTCCTTAGACCTCGTGGGTTCTCACACACACAGGTATGAATTATAGGAATGGTGCTTGGTGCATAGCTAGCGCTGCAGTGTTTGCTGCTACTATTCTGCTCCTGCTTCCATGAGCTCGTCCTGCTGGGGGTGGGGGCAGCTGGGATCCCGATCACGCCTGCTGTTATTAATAGCTCCAGGCCCTGGGTGGTGGAGGACCCAGGAGGTCGTGGTCGGGGTTAGGGGACAGGCTTTGGCACTGAAGCCCTGAGTTCTCCCACCTGATGCCACCGAAACTAGGCAGCTGGAGGAGGGGTGTGCATGTAACGGGAGAAGGAAGACATCGCTTCCCGGGGCTGATCCTGATTTGGTGCCAAGGATGAGGCAAAGCCCGA